GAGGGAGGGAGGGAGGAAAAAATCCTAGACTGCCCAGAGCTTATCTAAGGATGTCCCAAGGAGGCCTCAGAGTTGTGCCACTCACATCTATGTCACCTGTCATCTAGGAAACTACTTAGTACCTTCCCCCTATCAGCATGAGGCCCCTTTCTCCAGGTTACATATAGGGTGGGAAAGAATGGGATAGGCTGACATCGAGGCCCTGCTGAGCCTCTCCCTGCCTGAGCTTTCTTTCTGTGGACCCTCCCTGATGAGGACAGGTGCAACCGCAGGGGATGCTGAAGTCACATCAAAGAGCATGTCTGACTCTAGCCACAGACATCCTCAGCCTGCCCTGGGACCCAGGAAGGAAAGGGGACAGAAGATATGGGAAGGATGCTGGACACAGTGGGGCTGACTATTGTCTGCTCTGCTTTCCACTGATGTTTGACCTTGAGCAATGTGCCAAGTGTGCCTCTCTGCTCCGGAACACCCTCATCTGTCAAATGGAGAGAACACCTGCCCTCAGCCAGCCTGGCTAGGAGCATGAGTTTTTTGAAGAGAAACGTCTTATCAGTGGGAGGCTGTGGGGATGCTGTTACTGCTATAACCCCGCGTGGGCTGTATGTCACTGTCTGGGAGACAGCGTTGAAAAGGGGCTGCTGTCATTTTCAGCAGCTCTGGACTGGCTGGGGAGGCAGCACATGTGTAGGTGGTGAGGGCTGGTGAAGACCTTTATTATTATGAAAATTGAGCCATTTGCCAACTTGGTGCGGGTCCAGCTTAATTTCTCTCAGCCCTCAACGGATGCCTGATGGATCTGAACTGAGACTGAGGCAGGAAAATACCAGGACTTATAAAAATGTCATTCCTCCAGGGAGAAGAGCTGTGCTGGGCCAGGCCCTGAGCCCTTGTGCCTGTGGGGGTAGGGGGAGCTCAGGGAGGTGCTGGGTAGCTTGAGAGGGTATGTGTGGGTGCAAAGAGACAGAAGGAGAGAGGGAGGTGATGCATGTAAAGACCATCTGGCTGGGCACAGGCCCAGCCTAACAACCCAGGCCCTTTTTTCTCCCTCCCCCCAGATAACTCCTACTGTTTGCCCAGGGAAGAAACAATAGAATAATCTGGAGACCCCCTACCCTTTTCTAGATCATCCTGGGGTCTCTGCCTCTGATCCCTGAGCAGATGTACAAGGTGGACCAGCTCTGCAGCCCTATCTGGAGTAGCTCAGGGTCATTCCCCAGACCCCCAGCCGGGTACCTTCTGTGGGAGCTGGACAAAGACGGCTGCACATGTAGGGTTTTTTTTGCATAGACGTGCTAGACACTGTTAAAGTCCTCCTAATCCATGTTATTTTCTTCTAATCCTTCCCCCACCCTCTCTGGCCTGTGTGCCACCCTGCAGGACCTTTGGCCCCAAGCCAGAACTGGTGCTGAGGAGCCCCAGACATGAGGAAGCCAAGCACCTGCTGCAGCTGCAGAGTGCCCGCATGAAGGCCAGGACCCGGCCCCTCCGTGCCAGCCATGATATCATGCCCACCATTGACCAGGGTGGCCGGTGAGTAGGGCCTGGGCCAGGCTGGCCAGGGAAAAGAGATGGGACCTAGCCAAAATGCCTCTGCTTATTCCTCCTTTCTGTCTCTGTCTATGTTTCCCACATCAGGCACTTGCTTTAATTCATTTAGTTGGTCAACATACCTTTACTGAGGGCCCACTGAGTGTTAAGCATTGAGGATTTGAAGATAAATGAAACATAATCTGAGCTCCCTTGGAGGACAGAGGTCACCATCTCTAGGGAGAAAGGCAGGCAAACAGATCAATACAATTCTGTGGACTGTGGTGTAGGAGAGGAAAGATGTGTGCAGGGCAGGAAATCTGTAGCTTCACCTGGGAAGGATGGGGGTGGGTTGAGAGAATGTGGCTTCTAAGTTGGGGCTTGAAGGAGACATAAATATTCACTGGACCCGGCTGCCGTGACTCAGAGGTTGAGCATCGACCTATGATCCAGGGGATCAAGGTTCAATTACTAGTTACGGCACATGCCCGGGTTTCGGGCTGGATCCCCAGCAGGGGATGTGCAGGAGGCAGCTGATCAGTGACTCTCATCATTGATGTTTCTGTCTCTCTCTCCCTCTCCCTTCCTCTCTCTGAAATCAATAAAAATATATTTAAAATAATTAAATATTCACTGGACAGATGAGGGAGGCAGGGTGAGCATCCCAGAGCAGAAACCATGAGCAGAAGCACTATGCTCAGGAGTTTGGCCAGGCTGGAGCCTGAAGACATGCTGGGTGCATGGTGTCAAGGCCAGTCCTGGAAGCCTTCAGGCCTGCTGAACAATTTGCATGTCTCTCATAACAGCTAGGTACCACAAAGGGTTTTAAGCAGGTGGGTAGCATGATCACATTTGTGATTCAGAAAAGTCATCCTGGCAGCAAGGATGTGTTGGGTCTGGGGTTCTAGGGGCAGTGAGGAGGCTGCAACAGCTCCTGGTACAGTGTGATAGAGAGGATGGTTTGGAGACAAGAGATTGTAGACAGCCAGAAGCAAGTAGGTTTAATGAGGCAGCAGAGAAGTGGTTAAGAGACTCTGGAACCAGACCACTGCGTTGAATTTTGTCTCTGCCACTTATTAGCTGTGTGCCTTGGGGGAAGTCTCAGTGCTTTAGTTTCCTCATCTGCAAAATGGGGATTATAATAGTGCCTGTGTTACAGAGTTGTTGTGAGGGTTATATGAGTTAATAAATGTATGTAGAATATTTAAATAGCTCCTAGCACACAGTGAGTCCCTATGAGTGTTACTTCTTAAAAGTAATTTATAGTAGTCCCCCCTTGTCCACAGGGGATGTGTGCCAAGACCCCCAGTGGATGTCTGAAACCACAGACAGTACCAAACTCTATATGTCCTATATTTTTCCTATACATTCATACCTTTTCACTTAAAGGAAGCACATTATAGTTTTTCTTTGGTATATTTGAATCTTCAACACCACTACTATTGCTCTTTGGGGCTATTATTAGGTAAAATAAGGGTTACTTGAACACAAGCACTGCGATACCACACAATTGATCTGATAACTGACAAAGCTACTAAGTGACTAATGGGCCGGGAGCATACAAAGTGTGGAGACACTCTAGACAAAGGGATGATTCACATCCTCAGTGGGATGAAGTGGGACAGTGCAAGATTTCATCACATAACTTAGAATGGCATGCAATTTAAAACTTATGAATTCTTTATTTCTGGAATTTTCCACTTCATATTTTCTGACTGCTGTTGACTGCAGGTAACTGAAACCACAGAAAGCAAATCCACAGATAAGGGGGATAGTACTGTAATTAACTAGATGTAGGAAGTATGAGAGGGGAGGCGCCCAGGCCAGAGCCCAGGGTTCTGACTTGATGTCTGAAGATTTGGTGAGGCCTTAGCCAAGGTCTCTAGGTGCAGGGTCAGGCTTTGGAGAGGGTTGCCCACAGAACACCACTGGAGACACTTATCAGGCAGTTGGATATGGGACCTATAGAGGAGGAGAGAGGTCAGAAGTGCAGGTTTGGTCATTACCCTGTTTTCATGATGCTGGAGCTGTGGGTGAGCCTGAGTGCATGAGGGATGAAAAGATGGGAAAGGAACAAGTTCAAAGACATTCAATTCAAGCATTTTGCATATGCAGCTGCTCCCTGAGTGACACCCTATCACCATCATTGTGACTGTTCCATGTACAGTGCACTGCAAGGAACCACTTACATGTGGAGTTCTGGGCCGGAAATGAGACTGCCAGCCCACGCCAAACTCACCAGGCCTGAGCAGGACCCTCTCTGTCGTTGACAAGGCCTGTGGCTCCCTTGGCATGGTGGACATGTTGGACATGCTGGACATGCAGGTTTTCATCACTACGTGGCACTAGAGGGAACAAGAATTCTCAGTGGAACTGGACCACATGCTCTTTGATGGGGGATGCTGAGCCCACTCATGAAAGGCTGAGGACCTTCACAGCACCACTGAGATGACTCCAGCATGAGCAGAGGGCTGCGATCTTCCTCTGTGTTCAGTGTCAGTGTGACCCTTAGGAGAGGAACTCAGGAAACCCCGTACCCTGGCAACAGGTGCCAAACAGGACCCTTTTATTTCCACATTTTGTGCCTTGTTTTCCTCTGGCTGGAGCACACTAGTTATGAATGGGCATGGCTTCTCTGAAGCAACCTAACTATTCTTCTCTGCATGTATATGGGGCCCAGAGTCTTAGACTTACACGGAACCCTCCTGTTCCACTTTCTGTAGGTATATAGTTTGGGTTGGAGAGCCTCGAAATAGGCAAGTCTATTTGCAAAACAGACTTGACTGTGTAAATGTACTCTTGGATGCTTCCTCTTCCCTGAATCACATCAGTAGCTCACAACCCAACCACTGACCTTAAAGTAGGTTCCCCTTTGCCAGGCTGTCCCCTGGCTGTAGAAATGCTATAGAAATGCAAGGTGACCCAATTTAGCAGCTGCTGTGTCCAGAAAGGAATTACTTTGACTTGGCAGCGCTGGTGAATCCTCAGAGAGTAGAGCTGAAAACGCCAGATGGCTTGCTACAGATGCTTCTAAAGGTTACGCTTGTCAAATCACCCTGGAGAGCCACACTGAGTTAACATGGAGATGCCACACAGGCCCTGGGCCTCAGATGCACACCCCCACACCCCTAGCCCAGAGGCAATCACTCCTTCCGAAGAGCAGTTTGGTGGAAGATGGTGGAAGAGTGGGGGCAGGCAGAGCCGTCTCCAGAAGGCCTTCTTATACTAGATCTGATGGAGGCTGCTGGAGCAAGCCTGAACAGACAGACAGGCTTTTCCAGGACACATCAACGTAGATATCGAGCAGGTCCTGGAAATGCATACTCTTGCCGCTTTGGGGACGAACACACCTAGATTGTTGGTCTACTCTCAGGAGGGTTAAACATATTGGCAAGATGCAGGGCCTGGGAGGTGACACCATAAGTGTCATTGTCCTGGGTCAGAGAGTGGCTGTGTTAAGACTATAGAGCTTATGTGGGTCATATTAATTGTGTGGTTAGGACAGCATTGTTGTAGGAAGTGGGTTCTCAAAAGGGGCCTTCCCATCCTTCCCATGGACCATTCAGCCCAGGTTCTGAGCCTGACAGAGTCCTTTCAGAGGATGAATATTGAAGCATCTGCTGGCTGTGTCTCATTCTGAGAAGCTTGGCAGGATGATATTTGCTCGCTGCCGAAGTGCTTTGTTTACTCTGCACTTGTCTCCCAAATCCTCACAGCACCTTTCTGCACTGCCCCAGCACTGCTGCTGGAGACCTCTGGGTTTCAATACTTGAGTTGAAGGTGCCTTATGTGATTAAGTTCTCCTTCAGTTCTCCTTTGGGAACAAAAATGTTATTTCTACCTTGGCATGAATTCCAGGATGTCTCAATTCACCATCTTGTATTAAAAGTTAGGGTCAGGGATGTGGTTGACAGGACCTGGAGTCCCTTCTTAGATGAGGAATGTACTGTCTTTAAAGCTGGGCTTTTTCTTTCCTCTCCAGAAAGTACAGCCCACATCCTTTCAGCAGAGGGGGCAGTGCCCTCCAGGGCCTGAGTAGGGGTCATTGTGCCTGAGCCAGGGCCCCACTGGGTGGGCCTGGCAGCCACGGTGTCCTGCCTGTGCAGCAGGCAGAGCTCTGCTCGGTGGGCTCCTCTTCTTTCTCCGGGGCTGAGGCAATACTGTTTTTCTGTCTAAAGCCTTTCTTTCCTAGACAAAAATGCCCTGGAGGTCTGACCCAGGAACCCCACATGGACAGTGACCGTACCAGTGATTGTCCCATAGCTCCTTCCTCAGGTCCTGACAGGCTAAAGCCATCCAGGTGCAGGTGGAATCCTCAGGGAGGGAGAAGTACGGTTCTTACTCACATGGCCTCTGGCAGAAAAATGGCCGGTAGGCCTGCGTCCATTCGGATAGTGGCCTGAAAGTCAGGTACCCAGGCTCCAGAGGGCCCTGGTATGAGATCTGACTTGGCCATCAGGCACAGTGTCTCCCAGAGCAAAGGTTGGTGACAGAATGCAGAGACTTTTCCTAGAACAGTAATTCTCGTCCCAGCTTTTCAGGATGAGAACGTGCCTGAGGGGCTGGGGAGGGGCAGGTACAAGGACGGGTGTGGGAACAGACAAGATGGAGCATCCAGAGCATCCATGTCACTCTGTCTAAATTTTGTTTAAGCAAGGTGATTAGGAACCTGGAGGGAGAGCAAGAAACCCCAACTTCAGGTCCCACACAGTCTCTGTAGAGACTTAAAATACACTCTTCCTGTTAAACCTTTATAGCAAATACAGTACTCCCACAACTCATCACTACCAGAGGCCCTGCCCTCCTCACACACACACACACGCACACGCACGGGGACCTTGGTGTCCTCTTTCTGTACAATCCTGAGTTTAATAATGTTTCATCTTAACTCAGGCTGAGCTGGCAACAGAGGGAAAGGAACAATAAAGAAGGACCTGTTGATTTTGTTTAGCACCGTGTCTCAGGCGTTACTCCGCTTTGCTGCCTGACGCCCCAGGAACGTGATCTCGGATAACTCCGGGCTGTAGTTGCCACGGAGCACCCCGGGGTGCCTTCCTCCTCGCGCTGTGACCCCTCTCCTGTCTTCCCATCAGGGACGGCGGAAGTAGCCCAGCGCTGGACCAGAGGGCGCCCTTTGCCTGCAGAGACACCCTCCAGAACGGGAGCACCAGTGACTCCTCCAGCGGGGAGTCCGGCAGCGGGCAGTGGCAGAAGCGGGGTCCCCCCCCTTCCCACGTCCGCTTTGAGGACGAGTCCGCTGGGGACGCCGAGTCCCGCTACCTGGAACGGCTGCAGCAGCGCCAGCGCCAGGGGCTGAGCCCCGCGCTGCAGACAGCAGCCCAGGGCCCGCTGCGCTCCAAGCCCGAGCTGGCCGACTACGTCCCCAGGGGCGGCGGGC